AGTAACTCATATTTACCTGTCAACTTGCCTAACCGTTAGTATGAAGCTTATTGTAAAAACTAAACCTACAAACATACAAACGATTTCATTTTGTACCGATAAGATAAGAACTTAAATAGCTTTGCAGGTCTTATTGGCACAGTCAACGCATTATTTTTAGGCCAAAATATATATTACAATTGTGATGAAACAACAAATACTTACACTCAAGAAAATTAATGTGTCACACCTTGAAAAAATTTTTTAATAAATTATCATTTATATGTACATACATTAAGACTGAAAAGTTTTCGGAAATTCTCATTTAAAATTCGCGCGCTGTATATTTTTCGATATTTTAAGTTTATGTAGTTTGGCAGCACTGTCCTTAATTACTATGCCAAAAATGAGCGCGATCTGTCAGACAGTTCGTTTACGGCAGCTGTTGAACCCAGTTCCCCTCAGTAGTGCGTTGCGAAATGTCTTCGACGGTCGTACGACCGTCCTGAAAGGCTTTGTACCACTCATAAACTTGAGTTTTCGATAAAACTGATTTCCCATAAGCCTTTTGTAGCATTCGCAACGATTCTGCACACGAAATTTCGTTCGAAACACAAAATTTGATGCAAACTCTTTGTTCAATATTTTTTTCCATTGTTTTTTCGCAACGCACTACTGAGGTGAACTGGTTTCAACAGCTGCCGTAAACGAACTGTCTGACAGATCGCGCTCATTTTTGGCATAGTAATTGTCCTTAATTGCTGCCAAACTACATAAACTTAAAATATCGAAAAATATACAGCGCGCGAATTTTAAATGAGAATTTCTGAAAACTTTTCGGTCTTAATGTATAATGGTAAAATAAAGTAGAAATTGGTAACTAAAAAATATAATATTTTGTTACTAATAATATAATAATATATGTTATTATTATTATAATATAATATAACGAAATTAAATTCTCTAATGACTTACTCATTGATATTATTCAAAAAATTTTAATTTACAGAATATATATTTAACTTACATATATGCATAAATGTCAAAATACAGTTTTATCATTCTACTAACAGTTCCGGTTTTAGTACCATCAACGCTTTATAGTAGACAGGTTTTAATAAACATAAGCTTTGAGCTACTTCTTCAATTATTACATATAATGTTAATTATAATGTTATAATGTTAATATAATGTTAATTATATTCGTTGAACTATTTATACATTTGAATATCTTTCATGACAGTTTAGATATATCTTTAGGTCACAGTCTGCTTCACAGTGTTAGTCCAATACCAAATTTTGTGAATTTTGATTTCCATAATCCTAAGGTCTGCTTCTACTACACTGAACCATAGATTCCTATACCTTTAAATTGCACTTCAGACATTTTCGTTTTCTTCTGTTTCAAGGATCGATTTCAAGTGTGTTCTCATTCGATTTTTAGATAACTTAGCCAAGATATCTTAAAGGTTGTACTGTAGCAGGCCTTATATGTGCATTGTTGGACAGCTGTTCCATTTCGGCGCAGTATAGGAGTTTAAAATTATCTACATCGAGATTTAAGAAACCATTAATTTTGTTAAATAATTTTCTATCTAAGATTGTTTGTCCTCTTAAATCTTGAGCCTTGAACTTAGGTGTTCTTAAGAATTAAACCATTTTATATATTTCAATTTTTTTTCACTTGATAAAAGTTTCGACTTATATTACTAAAGACGTGTATAATAATCGATGAATAACTCCCACTAGTGAATTGAATAACGGCTATAATAAATAATGACGTTTAGATACTTGAAATCTTGTCAGTGTTCATAATTATAGGTTATATATACCGAGATATTTGAGTTCTACTTAAAATGTTTATATGTTATAAATGTAATATGTAAATTAGTAATAATATGTTGTATGATTTAGTATAGAAACCAAAAACTTGTATAGATTTTAAAAAAATCTTAATTATAATATTGATAGTTATTAATATAAATTAATATATATATATTAACTTATATATGTATGTCTAGAATTTTGATTTTTTTAATGCTTAATAACATACAAATTATTATTAATATACTTATATTGTGTACTTAGAATAGATATCAAAGAATTAGATATAACTGAAAATAAACTTTTACCATTATTTTACGTTTTTAGTTACTCTCAACAGTATCATAGACTACTAGTACGAAAATTAATTAAGTATTATTTAATGTGATTTAATTAATTTTAAAGTAAACTATGAATAAGAAACTGAACTTCTATGTCCTTTGCCTTATGTAAGTATTATATAGTTTATTAAACTCTTTTAAGTATCTGTTATACTGAATATAAAAGACCTGCCTGCTAGTTATACTGCTAGCGCTGTACTATCAAAAGAAGATATATAGAAAATATTATATTTTTTAAAAAATTATTTTAGCAAAAAATATAGTGTTACTAATATTAAAAATTAAAAACTAAAAATTTTAGACAAGTCGTTTAAAATTTCTTTTTAGAATACATAGAAACACTGCTCATCTTTCTAATATTACCTTGCCTTGAACTTCTTAATATAAGTTTCTAATACCTTTTGACAACATATATTTTTAAATAAAGTAATCATATTATATTATATCAGTATAATTAGATTTTAGAATATAAGTCGACTGTCTAATCAAATTTCTAACAAACACTAAACATTACTGTTGTTACTTCAGTAAAATGCTTACTATCAGCTTAGTAAGCAAGTTGAAAAAATTAAAATACTTTATCTAACATTTTTGAATGGTTGTAAAACAGCAAATTCTGCTTAAAAAATTGCTGCCTTTGATTGAGTATTTAATAACGATTTTTAATTTGAGATAAGTTTGTTTGCATAGAACCTGTTAACATGTACGAGTATCTACGAGTATATAAAAACCATAATAAATAAAATAAAACAAAGTGAACTGAACTCAAGTTAAAGTAATTTATAATTCATTTACTTCTTTGAAATTGTAGTACCTACACTTGTTCGATATTTATATCTGATTTATATGTATGTGATTTTCTGATATTGGTTAGACATGATATCATCGCTCGACTAATACCTATCAAAGTGTTTTTCATTTAATTTTGAATGTCACCTTCACTGAAAAAAGAAAAAAAAATTCTTTTACTATATTTTTTAATTTTTTCTGTAATATTGCATTTGCTTGTCAGTATTTCAACGCCAAGCAGTTGTGGAAAATTTCATATTAAACCTAAGCACATAGGTAGCTAAGCAGCTACCTAGTGATATTTGCATCCATTTATGCATTTTACGATGATAGTGTGTCATGCACACTGTTGGCATCATAAAAGGGATTAACGTATAAATTCAATTATGCACATGTAGATATGTAATTTTCAGATTTATGTGCGAATATTATAGTTTGTATTGGTTTATGGAATATCACAAGGTTAAAGTGGCGTAAAATGTGAAATTTTACAGCTTGGGATAGTGTAGTAAAATGAAATTCTATTGAATTTTTTGATATGTATGTAATTTAGTTGTACATAAATGTGTACCATAAAATTTGCTCAGATTTGCATTTATAGATATATAAATTAGGACATCAAATATTATACGAATTGTGTGAAGCTTCAACCATATTGATGTTCGAGCATGTTGCTACAACACTGCAACCCACTTGAAAATGTTCGAAGATCAATTGACGTTTGAACATTTGAATTTTTATAGACCCAAACAAAAAAAAAATTTAACTTAAGACAGTTGGAACATACTATGCCCTTAATTCAAATATTTGAATTCAAGTATACACAAGTTACTCCAGCACCTAATGTTCAAAGACTTCAAGGTACTAATAAAAATACTTGCTTTAAACAAAATTTAAGACTCCTAACATAGCCAAAAATTCAGTTGTGTTAATAATAGAATAAAGTTTGATTTCAAGGTTTAAGTTAAATTAGATAAAAGAAACCTTATATAGGAATTATTCAAATAATGGATAAGGATTACAGAACTAAGCATAGCTAATCAGGGGATAACAGGGATTTATTTAAAAGTATAAATGTTAGAGTTTCTCTTCCCATACATGACCTTGATATATATGGATGCTAATTTTGGCAGGTAGAAGCTCTGTTTCGAGGAATATTATGGGCTTTACTCAAACGAGTCTTCCTTTTTGGTTAGCACCAAATAACTATAACAGCTGCATTATTTTGCTCTATAAAGGGTAGTGTTACCTGTTGATATTCAATTTGAGACTATTCTAGCACATTATTATTAGTAAAAGGGATATTACACTGCGACTTAAAATATCTATTTCGGAACATTAAAGGATTGATATACATATATATAGAATTTATGATAGTATTTTATTGTGAAAGACGCAAGTAATTCTACAGTATGTACTTCACTAAAAGTGAACGTATCATCTTGTATTGATTATAAAATTAATAATTCTTTAATGGTTATTGCGTTACTTACTCTACTGAAAATTGTTAATAGACTCGTGATAGAGAAACTTTCTAAAATTATATCTATTTTTCTTTTAATTTCAAACTTCGAGATACTGAATTAATTCGTTATATTATAACAAATCTGAGTTATGAAATCTGAGTTATATTATAACAAATCTGAGTTATGAAAACATTGTGTAGTTCTAGAATCATAAAAATTCAGGCATTCTTAGAGACAATACCCATCAAACTCAGTAAATCATCCAAATATTCTTAAATTGTGATCATTCCTACCTTTGTCTCTAAGTGGTATATGATCATTCAAATTAAATGAGAATTTTTACGAAAATTGTTTGATTTTTATAGCTTTGAGTACCTAAATTTGGTAGTAAGGTCTATTAACAAATGAATCGCATTTCTTCATATTTTTCTAAGGTGTGAATAAAGTACGATCCCAAAAGATTTTATGTTAATTGCGTTACCTGAATTTACAATTTTGTGGTATAAATAAGACTACATAGTTCAAACATTTCATCAAATGTATTTGAACTTTTGTCCAACATACACGTAAAGTTTGTTAAAGAAATTAAGAATCTTTCAAAATGAGAGTTACAACGTTTAATTTTCAATTCTACTCATACAAAATGCCAACAAATAGAGAACTCGATTATGATGATGACATGGATGTTGATATGGATAATATCGATCATAATGGTAATAATTTGCAGACAGGTCATGACACGTTTACTATCGACGAGAATAAAGAAATTCCAAAACAGCCTGCGGTTTTTGAGAGAAATCTTCCAACAAATATGGTAGCTTGTGAAAACCCTAAAGTTCGATTTCGCACTAAAATTAAGGCCATGAGCAATAATTCATCCAGTACCACCAATACAGCAAAAGCACAACATCACGAATCTAGTGCAGTAAAAACAAACTCATCTTTGGAATTACGTGAGAAAATTTTGGAAATGTCTAAAAGAAATTCTGGTTCATTTGCTGATCAGTCATCCCTCATGCAAACAGCAACATCACTACCAACGCTTAACAGTTACGCTACAGCAGGAAGTTTTGGTGCAAATACAGCTGAAGAAGAATGGAATAATGGAAATTCCATAGATTCAGTGAAAAATAAAATCGTATTTTTTAATAATATCCTTCAGCCAAAAACTACTAGTAAATTTATAAATTTATTAAAAACAACTAAAGAAATTGGTGTCGCCACTCGTGCTGTCAATAACAACCGCATTAATACTCCAATGAAACGGTCTGATGGAAGTAATAATTTGAGTAACTTTTTTCAATCATATGATCAATTAACATCAACACCCTTGATGAAAACACCAACACCTCAAAAGTTTTCTGGTTCATCTTTCATTAATGGAATGAGAAATCCAACGAAGAGCTCAACCAAACGTTTGAATACTGTACAGAATATCAATGGTGCAAAACCTCAAATGCATGCTGCCATGGAGGATCTTGACTTAGTTGTTCCTGTTAGACTCAGAGTAGCTGAGTATGAAAGACGCATTTCGATGGCTTAAAAACACTAATGTTTTTAAGTTAAAGAACTTAATTAATAATTTATGGAACTATAAAATAATGTGAAAAAAATCAAGCAACTTGAACTGAACAGTCCATTTTTCAGATACCTTTGAAGACAAATGTGTAGAGCTGGAGATATGATACAGCCGGTTTTCGATTATTTAAAAACGTTAACAATTGTTTAAGATTCAAAGAATATAATTAAAAACTTTTAACATTTATGTGTATATATAAAGCAGCATCTATAAACAACCTATGTGTAATAATGTGAAATAATTTAAATATGTAATCTTTTGTATACCATAATGTAATACTTTGAAGGTATCAAGCACACCATGTAATACTGTAATGTACATTACTTTTCTTCAAATAAAAATAACACTTGAATTTATAAGTAATGTCATTTTATTGTAATTATATCATTCGAATGAGATAATTAAGATTGAATTCATCTCGAATACAATCTATTTTAAATCTATTTATTTTATTTTCTATATTTCTATAGTTCTATATTTGTTTCCGAATAGAGTTCTATAATTTAAAAGCACAAAAAATTTATGATAAAGGAAATTTTTATTATTTTTTACCTTTTTTAATACTGAGATCCATATGTTTAAGCAAAATCATTGGATCCATGAAATGAAACACACCCACAATAATTGAACTACTGTTATTTCAATTTCTTTTAGATGTATCAGAAATAATTGAAGATTGGATGTATTGGATGTTTTGGATATGTTTGGATGATATTGCTTATAGATTTTAAAATTATGTACCTAGAAAAATGAAAAAGAAAGTTCTCACGACTTGGCATAGTGACCGACATAGGTTATTAGTCTGTAAGATTTGGTTAATTTCGAAAACCAGTTGTTAGAGTCCAAGTCTTATATGTTTTATACAAAAATAAGTTGTTGATTTTATATATCTTAGGTTTTGTTACTCTGTTCACAAATTAATCAGTTTCATCTATTGGTAACGGAGAGTACTTACCAAGCAGTGGTTTGCAACTATTCGCTTTGTTGTTGTTAAGAATTAATCTTAAATAACTTGCTTAATTATCGTAAAATACGTAGGCATAGAAAACATACATATCATTTGAATATCATTTGAATCATTTGAATACTAATAAATATTTATACATTACTTGCTTTTGCAAAAATATACGAAGTATTATTATTCTAATATTTTAAGTTTTTAAAGTATTCAAAAAGTTTTTTGAGAGTTAAAATTATTTTTAGCTCATTTATAAGAAAAAATAATAATAAAGGAACAGGGTTTCGAGCCCCATTTTTTCTAATGCTTTCAAAATGAAATTCGGTTCAATTTTTCTTAAATATGTTTAGTAAAGATACATCTTTATATTATAAGTATTTATAGTTTTTAAAAACAAGTAAATCGTAGATTCTCACTTTGTAGATTCTCACATGATAAATACCAATGGCACCATTATGATTCTACAGTTTAAGCAGCACTTCCATATTGCTTCCAAAGTATTAAATATTGAAAACCACAAAGCACTATGATCTAATTAGATCAATTGTGTATTAAAGTAGAGATGTCTTTATTATGTACTTTCGTTTTTACCGTTACTGACTTCAAATCTATATCATTTCAATGCATTATTTGGACATGATATATTACAGTTAAGAAAATAGATCTGGTTTTGGTGCTAATAGAAAGAAAAATAGATTATAAAATAGATTAAGAAAAATAGATTTGGTGCTAATAGAAATTAATTTTTGGCCGATTACATTAATGCAAAATATTTGTAATATTCATTTAATTACTTTTTGTATGTAAAGTATTATTCATATAATATATGTATATCAATATAAAATACACAGCATTTGAAATATTTTTGCCTGCTGTTTTTCTATCCTTCCACCCAACGTTACTTAATCGAAACGCAGGTGCTTTGAATATGCAAATTGGATTTTATAGAAATTAAATTCGACTATATATTGTGGTTTACATTAAAAGTACATAGGCAGATACAAAATTGAAACCAAATCACCGGATTAAGTGCATTAAATAGAGAATTTATAATTATGCTGATTTAGTGGCAGTAAAATGTGGATTGTGCTTAGTTGGCGATTTTCTCTACTGCACTTATGACAGTAAATGTACATATATATATATGTATACCATATATCGTTTAAAAAAATTTATAAAATTTTTGTGTCAGCCTTTTAACTCTGGTATTTTTCTACATCAATAGGCAAAATATTTATCAATCAATGTCAATTAGTAAGTTTAAATGTTATAAGTAGAAAATTAATTTGAACTGATTTTGGATAAAATTAATTAAAATCAAATTAGCTCTTTAAAATTGACTTAATTATTAATGTGAATTTAATTTAATAGAGATTTTCTGGTAGAACTTTTATGAGTGTAAGTGGAAGTAGTTAAAAATTGATGTGTATACTTAAAGAATATATAAATAAATTAATAATATCTATTATAAAACAATACTTAATACAATGTAATAAAATATTTTATACAAAATAAAAATAAAAACCGAAATAGGAATGGGAATAAACCCAGCTCCCAACGGAGCGGAGCACTGCGACCATTGTTAATTTTTTGGAATAGGAATAAACGGGGTACCAGCTCCTAACGGAGCGGAGCACTGCGATCATGGTTAATCTTTTGTGCTGCGATATAAAATTGTTGGTTCAATATATTAGTTATATTTAGTTACTTTATTACATATCATTGCATATTTGAATAGATGTATATGGGAGGTTTTTAGAGAAAAACTACCTCTCAACTACCTCTCAAGTATGTGTCAAAGTCTTACCGTAACTCAGCAATTAGTTGACAGCAAAAGTCACTAATTTTCAAAAAAAAAAATAGTGATGCTTATATTAAGAGTTAGCTTTTGACAAATAAAAATATCCTTGAAGCAAAAGAATGACTTATTGTTTTATTGAATTTGAACAAAGTCGTGCAGATATAAATGACACTCAATCCTTTAGGTATCACATAAACATAACAAAATTCAAAAAATTGTCAAGCAATTGACCTTAAATTGTTAATTCAAAAAAAAGACATTAAACCAATATTTAGGTTTGGCATTAATTCGGGAGTAGTAAATCGGGAATTAACTGAGAGGACAGCAATAAATGACTATATAGTATTATTGCTACATTGAGGATGAGAATATATACACATAAAAAAATTTCTTTTTCGTCATCCAGATAATATACCGTGTCCCAATTCGATGATAACAATAGCCAAATTATATGAATTGTTTTATGAATTGCTTATTGATGTATCGAATTCTCGAGATCTGGTCCTCAGCATATAATAGTAACTTGCAAATCTCTAAAAGAATGCCATAAGAAACGAAATTTGTTTTGAATAAAGCAGTAGTCGCCGAAACAGAGGTCTATTTCAAAGGTTTCAATGAATTTTTTTGTATATGTTAGGAGTAAAAATTTTAAAAGGACGTTGGGTGCAGTGAAGTTGATGATGTATAAAGGATACATATAATATTTTTAGACAGTAGAAAAAAAAAGTTTATTGAAGTGATATCAGTTAATGTATTACTCTGATAATCATTGAATGAAGTTTTTCGTAACTGGCAAAGTAAAATAAAAATGACCTATTGAATATTACATGCATCATTGCTGCATTAAGAGCTTCAATTATAACAAAATTGAATTAGAATAAAAATACTAATAAAGCTTAATTTTTTACCAAATAATAGGTTGTATTATGTCAAAACAAAATAAATTTTTTACTAACCTCTTAATAATGATTATTATACAATAAAATAAATTTATTTAATTTACATGTATTTATTTATAAATTTATTAAATTTTATAAATAAATATTTTTAAGGATTTTAAAAATTTTGTATTTAAAATTTATAAATGTTTACATGTCTATTTTTTCACAGCACCTGATAATCCAATTGCACCACCCGTTATGCCCTCACATGCTGCTGGTGGTTACACGATATCTCAGGCACGGTTAGCGGAAATACGTTCTTACTTCATGTATTGGTATTTCGATCAGGATATGTATGGCGGACGTGGCGACTATCAATTTGATATACACGCTTCAATGACACAAATACACAAAAACTTGAATTTCCAGCTGCCGTTCTTTGGTTTCCGTTTCAATTACACACGAGTAAGTTCAATTTAAATAAAATATAAATAATCATAAATAAGATAAATTAAAATATATAAATGACTTTTTTTATTGCAGCTATCACTTAATGGTTATTTGGAATTCTCAGATCCACCAGAATACTTGACATATCCTTTGGTATTCCCCGTTAAAGATTGGCCCAAAAAGAATGATCCATCTTTCATTGGTATTTGGTTTTCGAAGTGCCGTGTCGGACGCATCTACGCAACTGATATCGACCAACGTACGCCCGGTGTATATTTCCGGTAAGTTTTGTGAAATTAGTTTCCGTTTATGCACATCAAACCATTAACGTGTAACGAAATTATAAACTCTTGCACACCAGTAATTTAAAATGCATAATTTTACTTAATTTCCTTTATTCTGTGCGAAACTTTAAATTGAAAGCCATTAAAATGCAAATGAATGAATCTTCATTGCTGAGCATGTAAAGTGCCAATAATACAAATAATACATGTTCACATACATTCATATTTTCATTTAAATTTTTGCAATAATATTTTGTTTTTATTTTAATATGGCAATGTATTTCCTCTTGTTATTTATTACTTATTGTGTAAAAACTAATAAATATGAAACATTTACCTTTTATTGCATGACATTTTGCGGTTTTTACTCGTTATTATTGCCATTGCATGTTGCAAATTTACAATGCAAAACGCACCCAAACTGCACTTACGCAGGACGAGCGGGTTTGTGAGCATGTTTGCAAAGAGCCAGGGTATGTAGCAGTTTTCAAATGTGCCAAGAGGGACTTGAGGGATATGTAAAAAGTTTTTAAGTGCATAAGTATTGCATATTTGTTGTATTGCAAATAAATGCATTCTAGATTCCTTTATTTTGTTTTTGTAAGTGTTATGGATTATTCAGCTTTAGTTGTGGCTTCATAAAGGCAGTTATTGAAAGAACCAAGTAGAGAGTATTTGTTTAGAATTTGTTTCACAAATGCGTGCTTGATTGTGAAAATATTTCCATAAATGAGCACAATTTTTTTTTTTGATTTTCAAATATTTGCATACAAATTTAAAAGTCATAAATTAAGAATTGTCATTGCTATATACTGCTAAATTTCATTTTTATTTACATACACACAATAAAAACAATGCATGTGATTTAACAAAAATTTATTAAAATATTCATAGTTTATATATTAATATTATTAATTTATGCTTTATTTTTTTTATTTTAATAACAATTATAACACACATACATAGTACCATTGAATCTGAATACGGTAATAAGAAATTTGTTACTAACTCGTAGCCTACGTATTAAAAATTTCATTATGTCACAACGACGTCAACAGATAGGGTACACGTATATAGTATATTCATATTAGCTGATATTTGTTCAAATATTTCTAATTTCTAAAAATTAACTAATTTAGTTGCTTTGTTTATCTTTAAAATAGAATAAATAAATATTTGAGAAAAGAATACGTTGATAAGATGTATCATGTTGACTGTCTGATCATTCTGTTTTATTATGTAGAGTTACGAAAATGATACTTTAGTATTTAAATATGATTCTTTAATATAAATATATTAAATATTAAAAAACATTCAACAACTTTTACTTAAATAATTACGTCAAATATTAAAACTGCATATTATATTTAAATTGCTCTAAGAAATAGAATTTATACCCATAATAAATTAGAATTATTAAGAATAACGAAATAAACTCTTTCACTTCTCTCAAAATTACAGTTAATACTCGATTTATCATAAACATAAACACTAATAAAAACTAAAGTTAAAGTGCCAGTCTACAGCATATAAAAATCGAAAGCATAAAGGTTGAAATGGGAACTGGTATACTGTAAAAAATAGAGAGAAAAATCTGAAAAATATAAAAATACAGGAAATGTGTATATTAATATATTTAGTATTAATAAAGGATTTTTAATGTTTTAGTTACTCATATAAAAAATCCTATAAGTATTACTATAAGTACCTTATACATATTCGTATTCTTGAAATTTCAAAAATTATAACAATTTGTTGACGGATTCGAATAGAAAAGAAAAGGCAAGGACAAAAATTTTATTTAATTTAATGAAATTTGGCTGACCATACAACACTGTTTTGAGTATTGCCAAGTACTCATTATCAGTGGTCTTAGGTTATATTCGAATTTCTTGCTTTGTTTATACTCCGTATATAATAAGAAATTCGAATATTTTCTAAGACCACTGATGAATAGTACTTGGCAATAGTAGAAACCGCTTTGTATGGTCAGCCAAATTTCAATAAATTAAATAAAATTTTTGTCCTTGTCTTTCCTTTGCTATTCGAACCCATCAAAATTTCAAATAGTTTCTTTTCGTCATAAAAATTTCATAACAATTTTTTTTATTACTGTTCATGACTAATTTTGTGCATAATATGGGTGGAAGTAGTTTCAAGATGAAAACTAAATACAAAATAAATTTTATTTAAAAAATAGTTTTATATGAATTATATCATATATCAGCTACTACATTTCGGTGTCTGTAGAACGTTAGTGCAGGTGGTGCACAACTGGCCAACGTTCGACCTGATTGTTAAAAAGGATGCTATTGCAGCGTTTGTTTGGTGATGCTGTCACTTTCGTTTCTGCGTCCTGATTGATATCAAACTCGTTTGTTATTCTAGTAAACCACAGTTTGGTACAGTACGTGGAAGTCACCGCCGGAAGTCATCTATGTATGAAAGCATAAAGCTACATCGTAATCGCTCAAGTTATTTTCAAGGTTGCTCATTTATACAACCTAAATGGATTTAACAGTTCAGTTCAGTACTCGTTATATGGTGTGGAGGCTACTGTTATTATTTTGAGACAACAGTGCAATTTTCAATATAATTGAATTATCAAATTTTGCACATTTGTGGTCTGGAAAAAGAATTTAATGAGTGGCATTAAGTAGTTTATTTAAAAGTTGTGATTAATCTTAGAAGTCTTTAGTTGTGTTTCATTAAACACTTAATAATATTTGGTTAAATATATTATTTAAAAAAGGTGGGAGACAACTGCAATTAAGTCTCGATATAATATCAAGGCCTTTTACATTTGTTATTTGGAGAAAAGTTTATTGTTATATTTCTTATTTACAAGTATTTGATAGTTCCTTACTCAGTGAGTTTATTGTATCGGTCATTCATTAATTCGAGGGTTTACTGTAGAATAACAACTTTAATTTTGCTATAAAAGTTCTTTAAGCAAAACCTTTAAGACTTAATTGCCAAACAATATTCTCTTAATAATATTAATCTCCAATTGTTTTTCTTAAATCGATGTAGATAAATAACTTTTACAAAGAGTAAATATGTGCATTGACTATATGCACAAGTGTAAACATTTGCTAAAAGAATATTAAATATTTACTAGAAGTAAATATACAACGAATAAAACAAAGTAGTAACAACAACAAAAAACTTCACACGTATTTATAAGCCCACAAATGCCATCACTGAAATCATGGATAATAAAAACTTTTTGCCACTTTCCCAACTTTCGTTCGGAGTAGATGCATAACATACGTGTAAAACTCTGATATGTAAAAAAAATGAAACTTGTAGTAACAATGAAAATAAATAAAAAATTAATCAAAAGGAAGCTGAGGGAAAAAATGGGCGAAAATATCTTTAGTCATGCCAACTTTGCGGTAGTGAAACAAAAGCACAGATTGCATATTGCACGCTATGAAATAAATGCATTGGCTTTTGTCTACTTTCACTGTGCTTATACTGCTTTCAACCATTGCAAGTATAGTTATGACTATATATGAAATCACATTATAATTTTTATATTAAATTATTTCCTATTGTAAATTAATGGTATATATTTTTTACTATTAAAGGAGTAAAGTTCATTTAAACTTCATTAAAACTCAAAATGAATTTTATGCTCTCGCATTTGCCCTTTTTTTTATCAGATATCAGTTTTATTGCTATTGTTTCAAGTATGAATTTATAAAAAATAGTTTATTATTAAATACTTGTATAAAAAAAATAAACAGTTATTTATATGTGCGACAAAGTTTTTAAAAATTTTTTATTATGAATGTAAATTGGTTAGTAAAATATTCATTTTTTGTTGGTTACCCACTGCGTATGAGTGATTTAAATATTTAATGTACTTACGATTCGCATGACTTTTAAAATATGTTTAAAAACTTTTCTGATTAGCAGTTAATTAAAAATTAATTATGAACAAAAATTAATATAATTTTTTTTGTGTTAATAAAATAAATTAATGACATATTATTCATTGCAAGTGGATTACTGGTGATTTATAGTTGTGAACATACTTAAGCTAATAAAAATACAATATTAAATTTGTGTTAAAAAATATCAGTTTTAATATTAGTATTGCTATTACTAATTTATTAAATTTTTTTTAATACACTATTAATTTATATGGGCTTCATTTATTATTTTCCAATGGCAGAAGTTAGATATGCAAAGCAATATGCCTGCAAATTTTAAGTTATTTGAATAAAAATAAAACAAAAAAAAATTTAAAAAACTACTATAAAGAGCTACTATTTTCTAAATTTTTATTTAAGCTAAAATATTTTAACTATTTATAAATACTAAAACTAATGGAAGGAAGTTTAGTTGGAAAAGTAAAAAATACTTTAATATTAAATAATATAATATTAAAAAATACTTCATGGAATAAAGCCTAGTATAGCCTTAATGACATTACCTTTTGTTTGAGATGACAAGGGTTGTTTAATTATATTTGTTTATTTAACTGTAAATATAATTTTTCAGGTAGACTTTTCTTTAACAACCAATACATTTGTGAATATTACTCTCCCTTGTATATTTTTTAAAATTTTTTGGACTGCACTAAATAACTTTGGAATTTATAGTGCTATAGTCTGTATTTTATCAACCTTGTACTTTCATTTTTAGCAAAACCATTAAAAATAGCTTACCCCGTAAATTACCGACTAAAACTAAAATCAATAAAAATATAGGTTAAGCAATTATCTTCGGAATTTATAGTATCATTCTCAATATAATTTTTTTAATTTTTTGTAAACTATTTAGATTTACTGGCTTTTGTTATTATATATTTATTGCCATAAATGCAAAATTTTTTTTTTTAAATTTTTCTTAATTTTTTCTTAACACAACCCAATTTTCTACTTATTGAAGCTTATAGAAATACGTTATTGTGGAAGAAATATAGTTCTTCCCTCTGAACTTTATATAAGTTTAAAACAAATATTTTTATACTAATTAAAGTTAGA